AGAGCCCCATGTATTTCCTAGAACCCACGCTCAGGCCCAGATATAACCGTCACCTTCAAGGTTATGTTTTTCATCCCCTTGCTATCCTAAACCAGGAATTGTTTAGTTCTATATACACACATATGCATATTTGAACTTTGAAAATTGAAATCATACTGCTTTTATTTTTCCTAGTCTTATTTTTTCTCAAGATTGCATTAATAAGATTTATCCATGTTTAATACAGGTAAATGTGTAATCAGTTTCACTGTTCAATAGATGTTCAATAAAAGATACCATCATTTACAGCAATTATTTTGTTGAAAAACACCTGAGGGGCTTGGGGGCTGCTGCTGTAAATATGAACGCAGTTGGAGATTTCACGCAGTCGCCTTTGCACTGGGATATAGTCTAGGCCAGGGACCAAATCCTGGGTCCGAGACTATAGACTTTTTCAACTTAGTTAGTTATTGTCAGACGGTTTCCCAAGAAAGTATATCAATTTATGTTTCCATTATCATTGTAAAAGAGTTTTCTCTAATCCACATCTTTGTTAGTATTTCACAACTCTGACTTTTTTCATTTTTAAAAAGGATACTAATCGATAGTATTTACTGAGATGTGATTTTAGGTGTACTTTGAAAAAGTACTGACATTTACATTCTAACTTTTCACATGCTGTCGTTTACCTCTGCAAATCTCCATTTACTTTGTCTGCCTTTACCAATGTTCTCTTACAGGGCACGTTCCTCCAGACAGCTTCGCTGAAGAGGAGTCATTTCAGCTGGGTATAAAAGGATGAGTAGGAGTTTTCCAACTGAACATAAAAAAAGAACTCCAGGACCTCGGTCACGGAGAATGAAGCATTCGCATGGAGACTGCTGTAAATGACTTTAGCCCCATGGTGACCATGGATATATATATTTGAAGACCATGTCTTAGTGTGATAGTTTGCTCATACTGGGTCTCTGCGGGGAACGGCATCTTATGGCTTTGAGTTCATCTAAGTTGGCTATTGCACTAAAAAAAACCCAATTTTTGCAAATTATACTTTGCAACACAATCATGGATAACTTCTAAAATAAATCTTAACTCAAATGTCAGAGAACTAATCACCTTTTATGCGCTGTGGTTCTTTTCAAGCCAGTTGGATCAGAAAAGTAAGTGATTAGTGAAAACAAGGAAGTACAACTTGACTGCTTTTTCCTAAAATGAATAAATGGCACCAAATTTAAGAATTAAAGCGCGTACTACTTGCTTTTCTTCCACAGGGAAAAATTACTACTGAATTTAACAAAGATTCAAGAGATTTACTGCATGAAAAGTCTAAGACTCCTGAGAAAGGTCCATTTGAACCCAGTACGTGTGCATGTTGGTATGGAGGAGGGGAGGAAAGATGAGAAGAGAGAAAGATACTTGAAGCTTATTAACTTCGGAAAAAATATCACAAATGAGAACACTTTTTTCAAAGCTGATGTAAAGAAACGTAAACATCTCAAATAGAAAAACATTACAGTAACCTACATAGTGTTGACTAAATGGAAATTATGGAGTGATACAATTTTTTAAGAAGTTCTTATATATTACCTAGTACACAGAAAAATTTAAATAATTACTTTATACCACCCTCGCTGCCCCTAAAAATTAGAAACACATGTTTCGTTCTTTCCATCTCCTTTGTTTTCTTCCCTCCTGGGTCAAAATCACTATTATCTTTTATTTAAGTTCCTTCCTAAGTCTCCCAAATTCTATGCTTGCCAGAGCAATATTTTCAAGACATAAATCATTAGCACTCCAGTTTCCTAAATACAATCTTTTAGTGGCTGGATAGTGCACTTAGAATAAAATGTAACCTCCTTATAAAGTGTATAAACTTGTGGAGTGTCTGTGAGCTCTCTCATCTCATATGATGTACCAAGAATACACGGGCATTTAGACTTTTCCTCTGCCTGAAACACTTCTCAGCGCCCCCTTCCTTCTCCTTCCCACCTGTTCCAAATGCACACACACATCTCTCATTCATTAATCTTCCCGCCCAGCATGGCTCTGCTGGCTTTCGTGAGCTGGTTGGTACATATCCCTGTGGCTTTGTCGCTTTCTACTCCCCTGAACTCAGCTTGTATTTGAGTCTCATAGGATTGCAGAAGAAGTGATTTAGCCAGAAAACGAGTGTCTTCATGGCTTTTCTTATCTCTTTATCAAACTGATTACACTCTCTAGTCTATTTTTTTTATTATGAATAGATGATATTTACTAGATGGAAAATATTGGGATAAATTCTTTACATATATCATCTCATTTTTTAAACCTTCTTAAAACAACTTGCTTCTGACAAAAACTGGATAGGGTATTTAAATCTTCTTCAATTGAGTTACCTAATTTAACCACTTAGGAGGAATCATTTTTAATAGGCTACGTTTATTAAAGAAGACATTATTTTAAACTAGTTATATCCAAAATAACATAACCCAATCATCTCCCACTTGACTCCCATTTAGTCAGATGAAGGCACATATCACATCTATTTATACCCATCTCCTCCCAAAAGGGACATGAGGCAGTTTTTATTTTATGCCTGGCTGATATGAAATGTTACATTCATGCTGAATCCTTCCCAGAAATTAAATTTAATTAAGTTGTAGCTCACAAGTCCCTTCCTTGTGTTACAAAACATCTTATTTTCTATGCAAAACTTCAAATTTTGGAAAAGAAAAAACAAAACAAAAGAGGTATGATTAAATTATGAATTTTGTCAGTGTTAAAAGGTACCTGAGAGTTTGACAGCCTTGTAAATAGCTCAAGCTGCTCTCATTTTACAAGAACATAATACATAATTGCATTATTTCATGAACTGTAGTGAACTGTAGTTTCATTTCCCCACCTTCGCTGTAAGCAAATGCCACGCTTCTGTTACTAATGTGGCACCAGGCCTGCATTTCTTTTTTTTTTAATTAATCTTTATTGCTGAAAGATTTCAGATGTTCCCATTTTCGCCCATTGGCTCCTTCTGCCTTGCCCCCCCACCCCGCCCGGGCCTTCACCACACTGTCTGTGTCCATGGTTATGAATGTGTTCCGCCCACCAGAGGGCCTACCAGATATTCTGGGGGGGGGAAAGTGCTCTGTGGTCAAATAAATCAAGAACTGCTGCTAACCCTTCTTTCGGAAAGCACTGTGAACTCCTTATATTTACTTGGTCATGAAAACACTCCATTTCTAGGGTGCCAAATATTCACAAACGAGGCACAAACTCGAGAAAATACTATAGTAGCCAAATGCTGTAGGTGCTGGTTGAGGAAACACGCCTTTCGGAGAAGCTGGCCTTATTATATGCAAAGAGTAAACCCTCCGAGTTAAAATCAGTTCCTCCTTCACCCTCCGAAGCACTGACAAACTGCTAAGAAACTCCTTCAGCGTTTAATCCGCAGTCACCACGCTGCTCGAGAGACAGATGCCCGAGAGGAAACAGCACAGGGGCGGCGGCTACTGGTCCTTTTCAAGCCCATTATCTGGTGTCCGTCAGTTCTCCCTGTTCAGCTCTAAGTCTTGGGAGAACTTGCTATTTCCATGGCACATGTATGTTTAATAACCATGGTAAGAAAGCGTGCAGATATGACAAGTAAATGAGGTAACAGTCCAAAGCGAGGCGCCAGCATCCTAAGGAAACATACGCCCCCTGGCAGTAGGATTACCATTCCTCTCCTTTATCAAATCCCCTGTACGCTGTGAAATCCTGCTCTGCAAGGCTGAATTGTTGATTAAAGTGTGAAGTATTTTCCTGATAACCCAGAAATTCCCCTAGCACTGGGGGAGAGAGGGAGAGAGAGAGATTGACATCAAACCAATAAACCAATATACCTGGTATAATTTTGAAGTAAGATAAATATTATACATAATAGTTTGGCTTTTTATTGTTTTTAAAAAGCATACTTAAATACATAGTAACATAGTATTGTACAAAAACGACATAATTTTCTTTCTTTTTAAAATAAGGCAGTCATCTTGGGTTCAACAAATGAGCACCCATATTTGAGGGTGCCCATAGCACCCACAAATGCCCAATATGCTTCAGGCTCATAATAAATGTTGCTGAGTGTTTAGAAACTGTAGGCAAACCGTAATGTTGCTATGCTGACTTTAATCCATATAAAAGCATCTGCGGCCAGAATCTATGTAACTCCATAAATTTCATTATAGATCAATATGGATACCATTTCAAAATTGGGGTAGAAGCGCTTAAAAAGTTACACCATCTGTTTGGTTTCTGGACAGGGGTAACCAAGCCTCTTCTTTCCATGTAGTTACACAGCCCATGGAAATCTCAGGTAAATTCAGTCACTCCCGCCTGTGCTTAATAGAGTTAGACAGGCTGAGGTGTTCTCAGCTCCATAACTGTAAGAAAACTCATGGCCAGGGGATAACAGAAATTTTACTCACAAAACTAATTTTTAAAAGTGTAAACTATTTGCTTTNAAAAATAATTTTTAAAAGTGTAAAGTATTTGCTTCTGTGCAAATGTTACTTTTAATTTAGAAATCTGAAGAATTTCAGAATCTCTTCAAAATGATTTGATACAAGGCTTCTCAATTAACAACAAAACATCCCCTCACGTGCTTTTTGACCAAATATGTGAAAGAAGATATTTTGTTCCCAGGCAAGTTCACAAGCCTCCAAGCCTTGGGCAAATGCATGAAGGGAGGGCTGGGAGGGACTGCTCATCTCTTAACAGCAACAAGATAAACTTACAAATGTTCTTGGCCGTAAAGTAAAAACAAGACCATCGAATTTGCTCCTGGTGGAAGAACCAAGATACCACTCAAAAATCAAGTTTCTAATACACTTAACTTTTTAAACAACAAAAGAATAAAATTATTGGTAAAAAAATTTCTTCTGCTGTACCAAACAATTTTTCTTTGGTCAAGGCTATAAAAAGACGTTTAGTTCAAAAACATCAAAACGTCTGTCTTCTCCCATTTAAAAAGCATAAATAACAACATGAGTTTCTTTAAGACTGTGAGTTACCTTTCAGGTCTTTCTTTAGCTTTCTGAGATCTTTCTGAAAATCCTCAAACTTCATCTGGGAAGCCTGAAACAGGTCCTGGGGCTCCGGCAACGGAAAGACACACTGCTCTTTTCCCGCATCCTGATGGGCAAGAAACACATCGTTTTAAACAGATCGGCATTAACATCAATAATAATACAACAGGAAAAACAACGCCAAAGCACTCGACAAAGAGAAACAAAACATACCGGGCGCAAAAGCTCTTACCTCGTCAAAATTCCGAAGGTAATAGGAAACGATATACGACAAAAGGCTTCTGCTATTGTCCTAGGCAGAAAGACCAAAGTAAGTAAAACAAGAGCTTTTAGTGATTAAATATACAGTGTTAAATAAAATAAATTTCAGGGAATCAGCATACAGAGATGGAACATTTAGAATGAAATGTGAAATTCTTCATTTCAAATCACTTAGTGACTATATCTAAGGAGGCGAATGGCACAGGAGGCCTTTTCCCCAGGGCTCCCGTTTAAGCTCCAAGTGTTAGGCACAGCTGCTTAAGGGTGGAGACTCCACTATAAATACGGTCCTATTTTTACTCTCCTCTGTCAGAAAATTAGTTCATTAATTTCTGTATTTTTTTATTAAGAGGTATAGCTGCTATCTTAACTGCTGGTATTTCTATACAGTGGGACCAGCAGGTCTCAGGCCAACAGTGAGTTTGACTGTCTTGTTAGTATATAGATTAGGGACATAAAATAAATTATTATTTCAGGCAATCAGGAGCTTTAAAATGCAAATACATATTATAAGTTTTTATGTCAGCCAATGAGACTGAGGAATTCACATCCATGCAGCTATAAATAACTCAATGTGTAGAGATCTACAGGGAAAAATGTAAAATTGTTTCATATTTAACAGTCTTCACAAAACAGCCTTTCACCTACTTTCTGGGACATTTGGAGGCATTAATTTTTAATTTTTTTTTCTTTTGCATTGCTAAAAGTTAGTACCAGATCATCTGAATGTGGGAGATCAACTATATATTTTAAAAACAAACCCTATGATACTAACTACATTCCCTGGAATGTTCAACCAACCATAACTTTCCCCCTCCTTAGAAAAAAATAACCTCCCTTTACAATTTACCCTGAACATATCTATTAGAGACTTCCCTCAGAGCAACATGTAGTCGTGGCAGTAATGTTGACAATAATAATAAAACAATATCTATTACACAATAATATATAGCAATAATATTAAAATATGTTTGTTAGAAACAGGATTTGCTTATAAAATACCTTAACTCCACCTCCTGTCACTTTCCTAACTTGTAAATCAATGAAATGGTTAGCAGTATCTGAATCAATTAACAAAACATTTATTAATGCCTGCTGATAGGCCCGCTGAGAGAAAATTCTGAGTGATCTTAGTAACAGCTCTGTCCATGCAGGTTTACAAATAGTACTCAAAAGTATAGTTTAATTTGTTTTACAGAAAAATAACCAAATCAGGAAGACTTTGTGTAGTAGTTCTTGTAAGAATATAAGTGAAAGTATTTTTTAAAAAGTCCTGCTTCTTGATTCATTACTTAATTTTTATCTAAATTAGTCCTTAATGATTTAAATTAATAAAATTTAACTTATTGGGGATTGACTAAAATATATCAATCAAAATAAATCCCTCATTCATATATAATGATTATCGAAATCACTTTTATAAGTTAAACACTATGTCAATGTTAGAGATATTCCAGTGTCATTTGCAAAAGTTACTGTTTTTCAATCCAATGAGCAGTTGCTAAGAACTATTCTGGAACTACCATGTGTTTACAGAGCTTTTGTTTTTAATAAATGTGATTTATAAGGTTGGCACGCTGAAGGTTCCCATGAAAGTATATATCATACAAATAAAATAGCATTTGAACAAATATAATCGTAAAAATCACAAAAATTATATGTTGTTGGTGTTCCAAGAAGGGACTAGGTTCTACTCAATTTTGGAAACACAGTGTCTGGCATTTCATACAGCCCAGGGAATGTTAAATAAACGTATGAGAGAGCATATGACTGAATACACGAGTTGTTGACCAAAATAAAACAAGCTAACAAACAAACAGAATCTTTTTAGGGGGGAGGTTAGTTCATTACCAAGGAAGGACAATTTTATATATTTTCATCTCTGTAAGCCAACTGCTTACTCAAGCTTAATATTGTAAAAACATATCCATAATTTCCTTCATCATTCAGTTCTGCGTTGAGATTCTTTCATCAGAGAAACAGAATTCTTTTATTTTCAAAGTTTACAATCTCAGACTTGAACTCTTACCATCGTGGTTGTTTCCCTAAACTTATATATCTACTGATGCTTTCATAATCTTTTAGGTGTTAATTTCAAAGAAACACAACTAGAGAAATAGGATCAAAAAGTAATTAGGCTGCAAAAGGACTTAGGCATTCCCACACAAACCAGCGTCAAGGAGAGGGTGGCATGCAGAAAAACAGAATCATCTTTTATATTTTATTTACAAACTACTTTCATTCAACTTTGTTTTGCTTAAAATAGAGTGAAAGAAGAACATAATGGATATGCTAATTTATGGAAATTGATGAGTCCTCAGAGTCCAAAAAATAAATATTAGCAGACATGGTAGAGTGAAAAAATAATTTTATTTTAAATATTACCTATTTAATTATTCATTAGACACAGAACTCAAAACTACTCACTCTAGGAAATATTATTATTTACTAAAGCACAAATATATGAGGGCCATTGCTTTTATCTAGTTCAAAACATAAAGAAACTCTTGACCTTGGGACATAAAGAAACATTTATTACAACTGGTTTGTAGTCAAACTTACTACTAAACAAAATATCTCATCCTCAATTTGCCTACATTCATTCATACAAAATACTTACACTGCTTTTGACATCTTTCAGCTTCGGAAGAATGTCCAATCCAAAGCCATCTGCCTGCCCCCGAGTCTTATTTCCACCATTCATATAGTTGCCAAAGGCCAGAACCAAACCCAGCACCTGCATCACCCCTGGGCCATTTTTTAACGTCTGTAAAACAGAATAAAGAACAATTTCTCTCTTATACAAAGTTTTGTTTGAATTATCTTAAGTCAGTGGCAGAGATTTGTATTATAGTAATAATTGTGGGTCATATCTAAACTTTATTATTGTTCATTTTACGTATAATTTGACAACTTCTAAAAAATAACGCCATTGCTATCAACCTAATTGTGCCTTGCTCTGGAGCAACAGAAATTTTTCACACAGTTGTGGGAAGCTAAAACATAGTAACAAAGATTAACGTCCAAATTCAGATTTATCCCTGAAAAATTCACACTCACTTCTACCAAAACACAAAATTGAACCTGAATGTGCACGTCACGTCCTCTGAAAATGTGCCTTTAATAACTTCTTACTACTTTTCAAAGTGATTTCCCACAACCAGAACACATGGGACTATTGATCGGTGACAAACTGTTTTAGATGTTAACATTGCTAATTTCTGCCAAGATTTAGTCTTTGTTTTCGGAAGAATATTGATCTTCTGTTGAATTGTAAAGCTGATCCTAAATCCTTGGGCTGGAATCATTCACGTTTTATTGAAGGGCCCTTCCCAACATGATGGAAAGTAAATAAAATGCCTTCAAATTGCATTTCATTGGGAGTTTGTTGCACGAGAGGGCCGTGAAAAGTGAAGATTCTGCAAATCAGGAGCGACAAACATCTCCAAGGTGGATCAGCAATGACCCCAGTCGAGCACAGTGGTCCTGCAGGCCAGGGTGCCTGTTAGAACATTTCTGGGGTTTTTTTCTTCATTGCTGAAATTACAGATGGCCCCCTTTTGTCTTAATGCTCAATTGTAACACGTTCTCTTTTGTGGGACTGCTGGCCTTCAGATTTTATGAGTACGTAGAATAACTAACGCTTTCTGAAATATGGACGGGCCTGACCATCAGAATGCAAGCTTCAGCCTCTGCGCACCACCACCCACCTCGCACAGCCTCTGTAGAAGCTCCAGCTTGCGGCGAATCGAGCAGATGCTTTCTGAAAACGTGGACTGGAACAGGATGCAGAAGACCCGCTCGGAGAAGTTGGGGATCAGCGACAGCTCGTAAAGGAACCTAAGGAAATAAGGCCAAGTTCAGGGGAGACCGGGTAACTCCTATCAGCAGCTGCTCAACCTCGTATCATTCACAATGATGAATGGCAGGCGCTGCATTTTCCAAACGGAGAAGCCCCCACAGCCTGGTGCCCCCCGCAGCCTGGTGCCCCCCGCAGCCTGGTGCCCCCCGCAGCCTGATGCCCCCCGCAGCCTGGTGCCCCCAACAGCCTGGTGCCCCCCACAGCCTGGTGCCCCCCGCAGGGTCCTACAACATGCTTACTGTTCGGGCTTGTCCAGAGACTTGGCATTTTCTTTGTCTTTGGAGGACCGGCCATGCTTTTCAATTTTTTCCAGTTCATCGGACTGTGCCCTCTGGAAATCAAAAGCCAAGCTGTTTTTCAAAATCTGGTCAACTGCATCCCTTAGATAATGATGATCTTAATGCGGCAAAACTCTATATATTTTCATATTTCTTAGCATCTCTTTGTAGTAAAGCTTGACTTCATTCATGAAGCATTTTAAAGTGCAAATGTGTTTAATGGAAACCAGATAGTCGCCAAATCTTCCAAATAATGTTATTGACTATCAGTGATCTGCAAAACACTTATTTATTCAAGCGTGCTTTAAAACAATACGCTTTTCTCTTGCTTTTGGGCTGTTTATAATACTCTCCAGAATGCAAGAATTTCGTTTAAAGTTGTATTTCTTATTAAGGAATTAATTCAAGTTGGAAGCAATTTGATCCTAAGGTTGTTATAAGATTGTTGAAGGAAAAAAAGTACTTATTAAACTATTGCAATAATTGTTTATGGCTAGTTTTTTGTAGGGGAAAGGAAAATACAATTGAATTACTAAGCCATGGAATGAAAACCAAAGGTTTTGATTTTTCTACTGAATTTTCTTTTTGATACAAAAAAAGGCCCCAGGCTTCTTTTCTCCGTAAGTGTTCCTAACCTTTTATAATATCAAGCTAAAAATTTATCAGCATAAATTTGTTTCTTTCTAGGAGAGGCTATGCCTTTTTAATATAAGGCCTAAGACTTTATAGACTTGGAGAACCACAGGTCTATTCTTATTTATGGAGATTTTGGAGGTTTTTTATTCGTAGTCTCATCTTTTTTTATTACTCACAATGGTGTTTCAAAACAGTCAAATACTACATTTTCTAAATGCATTAACAAGTGTCAATAAACTTCCATAACTTGAGTTTTGGTCTAGTCTTCAGAACTTAAAGTCCTTCCTACATTATTTTTGTTTAAACAGAAAATCAGTTCGACCAGGAACTGCAGTAGGAGACAGATCGTGACGGATTCCTAGGCTTTCTGTATTTCATCTGAACAAAGCTATGGCCCGTTTTGTGTTCACTGCTTTGAAGAGCAGGTTTTCAGCTGGTGAGAGTAAGGGCAAGTTCCTCACAGGAAGCTTCTTTTTACAGAAGGAGGACCTGATGACAGATCAGCGGGTCTTCTGTGGGTCTGATGCAGTTTGCTTTTGGAATATAATACAGCAAAAGGATCTAAAATAGTAAAGGAGGTGTATTTAATGCAAATATGCCAAGCTATTCCAAAAATTTAGACCCTTCTTCTAGAATTTCAATTGCATAGTAAGCTTTTTTCTTTTCTTTTCTTAGTTTATTGTGGTTTTTCCCATAAACTTTAGGGGAGTAAATACCACGTTATTTACTTAATGTTAACACTTGTAAGAGTGGGCCCCACAGATAATATCGTAATGCCACGTAAAGCCAAGCGACGAGATGGCCTTTAATACTGACCAAACCCATCTTTCTGGAAATGAGAGGCCGGAGGAATATAAAAGACCATGAAGTTAAGGACATTAACAAGGCAAGGGTTGTGTGGAGACAGGCAGCTCCACTATATAACTCCTAGAAGAAAACATGGGTAGAAAACTATTCGACAGCAGTCTTAATAATATCTTTTTGGATATGTCTCCTTAAAGGAAGGGAAAGAAAAAAAATAAACAAACAAGTGGGGCTTTATCACACTAAAAAGCTGCACAGCAAAGGAAACACCAACAGAACCAGAAGACAATGGAGTGAACGGAAGAACAGGGGGTGGGAAAAAGCAGGTTTACAGCTGTGAGGACAAAAAACACAGTTTATTTCTTGTGTAATTATTAATTATTAATTATTCTATTATTTTCCATATGAACAACTGTAAATCTACTTTTTCCCACCCCTACATATTCCCAAAGAATATATCCAATGTGGGTTGATATTCAAAATATTTAAGGAACTCATACAACTCAGTAACAAAAAAATAATCTGATCAACCCCCACCCCAATTCCAACTCCAATTCCCCAACGCACTACTTTCTGGAAACAGAATTTCTCACCCGAAATACATTCTAGTTTTTCACATCCATGCCTTTGATCAAATAGCTCCATCTTCTGAGAACATCTTCTCAGCTCTTCTCTCAAACATATTACCGTCTACCACGTAAGAACCCCGCGCACTGCCCAACTGTGAAGATTATCTCGGCTCCCCCAAGATCAAATCATGTTGGGTCTTCAGCAACTCTCCTGCTCTTTCCACAGAACTCTATCCTGGTACTCATGACATGAGCCTGCACTTATTTAGTTGCATACTTGACAGCTACCATTTGATTTTGTAAAAAAAACAAAACTTGTATATAGGTATGTTATGAATGAAATAGTCTTTGCTATGTTGGACTGGGAATTTCTTAGCAATTTTAAGGGGAAATGGTTCTGCATTATTTAAAAGGCAATTTAAAATATTCTTTTGAACGTTACATATTCAAGAGTTTACGGCTGGTCTGTCTACTAGTTGTTGACTCACACTTTCCCTAATCTTGAAAACTAGCTTTTCAAGAGATATACTTTATATGGTCCATAGATTCACACCTACAGCCACACAGCTCGTCCTTCCCCAGGTACAATAAGCAACTGGAAGGTCTTTAAATGCCACAGGCTGAGGGAAATTTGCAAAATGCTGGCTGCATACCCGCAGCCATCTAAAGTTGTATGTCTAAGGCCTGCACAGCTCTTCAGGGACCTAAAATCTTGAGTACTGAACCATATATTGGCAAACATGCAAGTAAACAAAAATTTAGAGCAAAACACACAGGAGATGTCATCTGGAATCATTCAACTTCCTAATAAGTTTGATAGGAGTTTTACATCCTTGAAAGAATTGACTATTTATCCTTTTAATAACTTTACTGCACATTCAATTTTAGTTGTTGCAATCATGGGCATCAAGGAGGAAAGGTAAATATCCTCTCAAGCTAATATGGCAAAAACATCCAATGTTATTACTGTTCATGCATAATTTCAAGTTACGACCCAGCTTCAGTAAAAACCAAGGCTCTTAGCATATATTTATAAAACAATCAACATTTACTACCACTGACAAATCGCTACCTAATACAACCATTCACAGGCCAAACCTGAAAGTCTTGTACATGAACTATAGTATTCCTAGCCATAAGTACATTCCTGTAGCATCAGCAGAATAAAGGCATTTAAAGGAGGTATAGTGAGCATTTATGGAGTCAGGATGGAGCAATTTATCACCGTTGCTAGCCAACTGCACCATTTCTCTAGTGCCGGCCTGTCATCATGGAAAATTACTGGGAAATGTTTAGTACACATGTGTCAGAAGACACTGTCCTCCCAGGAGAGCTGAGTACTTATTAAAGAGCAAATGTGCAAGAAAGGCTTTCTGTACTCTACCAAGCTAAACAGTGGGTTAATGTCCTCAAAGAAACGAGGCAGATCACAGAAAATATAGTTAATATAAAAACAATGGTTGATAAAGGCAGACAGGGTACCAATAAACAATTCATATTCTTCTGAGGGGAGACTTCCTTAGGGACCAAAAGAAGTTGCATTAAAAGAGGCAAACAAGTGTTTTCATTATCAAACAAAGGTTACATATTTACAGCTAAAATACAAGAAAAATAGCATCGGGGATCAAAGCTAGAGTTCAACCAACATAAAAGTCATTCCATTAATTTTTGCTCTGAAGAATTTATGGTCCATCTATTCATAAAGAATTTGAGGACAGCACTAACAGGAGATCTTGTTCCTTTCTCCCCTCCTCTCTTTCGAGCTAGTAGAAATCTTGGATATCTCTTAGTTTCAGGTCAATGCATATGAAAGCCAAGCCTGTGATTTTTAGTAGGTCAGTAGTTGGAGCAGAATTTCTCGGTTAGTGTGAAATTTGGCACAGGCACCTTTCCATGTGTGGACCCTGAGAATGAATGTGTCTATTAAGGAGGACTCCTGGTGACTAACTGGGTTGAAGTTTATAAACAGTCTACTAGTCATTGCTAACCAGGGGTCTCTCATGCTCTCAGTGCTTCAGGGGAAAGCTGCACTGTACTCCTGCTGTTGGAGTCAACCCTCCTAAGACAGTTCCTAGGATCTTATTTCAACTGATAGGACTGAGACTTTCCCTGTCCAGTTGGAGCTGCGCAACTATATCCTTACTAGCATCAGTCAGAGCGGCTCCATCCTGACCAATAAGGACAATGCTTTTTGGACCAATTACACTGTGAGAATTTGGAGCCCTCATTTGCATACAAACAGGCCAATCAGGGACCGGGCACAGGAACCCTTCTCTTATTAGGCCAGCTTCACCTCTGTTTCTATGGAGCACACTTTCAGTTACCATGGAAGATGGCATTTCCCAGCCTGAGCTGTGACACCAGGGCAGCATGGAGCTGCCTGGCCAAAGCTGAGCTGTGACACCAGAACTGCTTCACCGGAGTCACCTGGCCTGAGCTGTCTCACTGCCATGCTGTATCGTAACTGAGCTGTCTCACCATTGGGCTGTNGTGACACCAGAACTGCTTCACCGGAGTCACCTGGCCTGAGCTGTCTCACTGCCATGCTGTATCGTAACTGAGCTGTCTCACCATCGGGCTGCTTGTACTGACTTTATTCATGTACTAACTCTTCCCTTGTGTACCCCAAAATGGGGACCCTCTTGGTGTTGAATTGGTGGCGACAACCTGCAGTTGACACATACCATAAATATTTGTGCTTCTAGCTACAGATGGATGCCACATCTCCCCTTCCCAGAACACCTCAGCTTTATGATCTTTTTAGGGGTGGGACCTAATGTGGCTTATATTTTGTGTTAAACTATTATTTAATGAAATGTTAGCACTCGAATTCTTATATAATAACTAAAATTTTATGCATCTTTCAGCTGCCTAACAAAAGTATATTCTCTTTGCAGAAGTGGGTCCCAACAGATTTCCTGGAAGAGCACTATGTGCAAAAGCATAATTGGGGGGAAAAACATGTAAGCGCAAAGTATTTTTCAAGATATTAATATAGACTATAACTTATATACATTATTTTAGATATTTAATTAAATACTAAA